AAGTGATCTCCTGCTTAAAATCTTCTACAGCTTGTGGTACAGACAACACACTTGTTATAGTCTTGCAGAAGTGTTCCCTGGAGCTGTTGTCTATACTTTCAAAACAATTTAACAAGCACTTATCGAAGTCTTGTTTTCCATCCTGCTGTAAAGCAGCATCTGATATACCTATTTTCAAAAATTCTGGAGAGCAATTAACATGTTTAACTACTGTCCCATTAGCCTTCTTCTAATCATAAGCAAGGTTTTTGAACCTTTAATTAATAAACACTTAATCTCTTATATTGAATCTAATAACTTACTTTCTGATCATCAATAAGGATTTTGATCTTCTCGTATTACTGCTGATTGGTTAACGATAATAATTGATAGGTTTTATTGTGAATAGAGAGGTTAAGGCTATCTCTCTTAACATTTGTAAAGCTTTTGATAAAGTTTAGCATGCTGGTCTTCTCCATAAGCTCTCTTCTTATGATGTATCAGGTAACATTTTTAAGACTATTGAACCCGTCTTTACCAATTGCAGTATAGAAGTTGTCCTCAATGGACAGCACACTTCATATCTTGTAGCAATTGGGGATCCTCAAGATTTTATCATTAGCTCTATACATTTTTAACTTACATTAACAATCTCCGAGAAGCTCTCACATGTAAGGTGGCATTGTTCACTAATGGTACTACCATTTATTCTTGACTTGATATGAAGCCAGCACTCTGATTGCTTTTAGGGGGCATTTGAGCTTTAAAGGAATCTCACTTCTGTTACATAATGGGGCTCTCAGTGGTTGGTGAACTCAGATAAAACTAAATTTATTTCAGCTAAACATTATTGTAACAATCTAGATCATCCTATATTTATGAACAGTAATGTACTCGATAAGTCATCTACCTTTTATCTTCTAGGATTAACTCTTACTTCTGATCTTTTTTGGAAGCCATACATCAAATCAGTCCATGTATGGAATACTGTTGCCATATCTGGAGCAGATCTTTGAATGATGCTCTTTCTCTTTAAAATAGTAATTTAAAATAGTTTAAACATAGTTAGACCTTGCTCTTGCAGTCAACCTTCAACCATTGTCACATCATTGTAATGTTGCTTCTCTTTCTCTTTTCTATAAATACTATTATGGGATCTTCTCTAAACATCTCTTATGCCATTTACTAAAATTTATTCTTGTGTTACTCGTCATTCAAGTCTAATCTTTTTGCTCTGACTTTTCTTAAATGTTCCAAAAATTTTTATTCATCTAGTTTTTTTATCAAACATCTGTTCTTAGAAACTTGCTCTCTTTATCTGATGTTTTGTCTGATTCATACAACTTGCAATCTTTTAAGTAGTCTATTAATTACTATCTTGCTTTATAAACTTCATCTTTTCTTTTCCAGTAACTTCCAACTTTAATTGTGGTTGGTTGCAGCCTTGTTGGAAGTGAAGATAATTAAAAAAAAAAAAGTTATAAATTGATTTTATTAAATTGCCACATTATTAAAAAACAAATAAACACGTAAAAAAAATTGTACATGGTACATCAGCCATACATTAGGCTTTATAACTACAATCATCAATGTCGATTATTTATATTTTATATATAAGTAATTAAAGAATCATGTTTGGGTGAATTCAAGAAATGATTTTTATATCGTTAAAAGTTAAATTGAGAGGTTAGCGTACTTTAAAGTACGCTAACCTCACAATTAATTTTAAACTTAAACTGCATTAAAATCTTTTGAACAACTATAAAATCTTTTAAACAACTATAAAACTACCAATGAACTTCCAATTTGTTATTTAAAAAATGTTTCTTTATTATTTATTTCTATTATTTTATACATAACATAATAATCTTTTGTTTATTTTATTACAATCTAGTTTTATTTTGTTTTGTTTTTTTTTCTTATACATTAAATGAACTATTTTTAATAATGATTGTCAACAATTTATATAAATATTTTATCCGTAATAACATAATTTGTGCTTATCATTATTTTTTTTTTCTTTGTCAATTTACCTCCCCAAGGCCGAGAAGACCACTACAGACGAAGAGGCTACTCAATTGTGGTTATAACCGTCTCTCAATTCTATAACTCCGAAACACAAACCTTAAGGAACAACGCCACTGCGTGAAGAAACAAATTGACCATAGTACTACCAGGGACGTGGTGGGGATCAAACTCGGAACCTCTTGCCTATGAAGCGAGTACTCTACCACTACTGCATATTACTGATAAAATAAAAAAATTCAAATTTTTTTGAAATTATTTTATAGAATAAAAATTAGAAATGTAATAATTTCAAATTTTTCTTGAAAATTTTAGAAAACATATGATACATTATTTGGAAATATTATTATAGACAGGTGCAGTTTTTAGGATAGACCAGATTAACTATAAAATATTATTATATGCACCTGCCTATAATAATATTTTCAAAAATTGTATGCAAGAAAAATTTAAAATTATTAATCATATGGATCAAGAAAATTTACTAAACAAACAATCTGAATTAATTTCTAAATGCAAGCATGAAAAGAAACATCTTTTAAAAATTATAAAAACAAATGACAACTAAAAATATCTTAACTCTAAAGAATTCTTTTTCACAAATAATTTTTTGAAAAATAATGTAGCTAATGCAACCTCATGGTTGCCAAATAACTACAGTTTTTATAAAATTAATTATGATTTCCATTTTCCTTTGAAATATTTTTTCTATAGTTTGATATTTATACTTTTGATATTTATATTTAAGTCAACAGTTCAACTAAACTTAAATTAAAAAAAATATGAACATGAGAAAACTAAATAACATTTAGTGTTCTCAATTTTTTGTCAACTCATTTTTAAATAAACCACAAAAATGCAACTTTATTAACTAGAGCTTTTTTTTTTTTTAATAAAGAGTGTTTTTGTTTTTATTTAATTAAGAAGACATTTTTTAAAACTTATTAAAAACATATTCTTAAGATATGTGTTTTGAATATTGTATAATCTATTAAATCAGAAGAATTCACAGGCTTTTCTAGAGATAAAAAAGTATAAAATTTAAAATATTTTTACTTTTACACAGTCATACTCAGTTAAAATGTAAATAAAATGTGTGAGCAAGATTGCATAAAAATAGTTAAAATATAAAATATAAAAAACAAATGAAGCTATGAAAAGACTTTCATTTAAATGAAGGTGTTTGCAAGTATACAAGTTTGTATCCCTTATACTGTTTAACCATGCATGTCTTTAGACAGCAAGTAGTTTTGCCTGTATAATAGACTTTACATTCAAATTTGACTACACATTCTTCAAATATGTCTACAATCCCTATGTTAAAATATTTTTTGTAAAAATCATTTTCTGTATTGATTTTTTACTTTATTTTTTATGTTTATTAAAAAAATGATATGTTCATTGTTTTCCAAAGTCAAAATAATTGCTAATCTAAACAAATTGCGCAACACATGTAATATTTCCACTTATCGTATAATAGATAATACATGTAATATTTCCACCTATAGTATAGAATGGAAACTAAACCTAATAAAAATGTTTTCTTGTTATATTTATTTCTCCACCACAAAATTTGTAAGAATTGAATAACTTAGTCTAGAAACATTCTTATTATTTAACAAAAACATTGTTTAACTTAAACTATAAACTTGGTTTGTTTATTTTTCTTGTTAAAGGAAAAATGTATTAGTAACTAAAATCAAAAAGAAACCTGGTTAAGTTCATCTTTTAGTATTGTACCTTCAGGTTCAGGAAGAGATGGTATTTCATCCATGCTCAATGGAACGCTCATCTAAAGTAAAAAAGAATAATTGAATCCTATATAGGGAGAAAAAAATTAATTTAAATATGGTTTAGGAATGACTGAAAATTTTTAATTTGAATAAAAAACATTTTTATAATTTTAAAATTGTCAAAAAATATATATATATACTTGTCAATTTTTAAAGCAATAAAGAAATAATAGTTCATTAATGTTTTAATACTGCAATTTAATAGAAAAGTTGCTGGTGTAATCATGACATTGATTCTTTACCCAATTTGTTGTACAGTTTAAAACAATACAACATGTTTTAGACATTTTATTTAATTATATGCTGAAATCATATTTTCATATTTACTGTATTATTGCTTAAAATCTACATTTACCTTGTTTGTGTCCAAATCTACTATTAATATATCATTAGGTACTTGAAAACTCATTCCTTTTATTCGGAAGAAACTTGAAGGTATTCCAATAACAAATGGTGAAGGTGCCAATAAAAGCTTGAAAAACAAGCATTAACATAAATAACAATTAAAAGCTTGAAACTATTTAAAGATGTATATTAAATGTGTAGCACTATCAGGTGTAATAAAACCATTACATATATATATATATATATATATCGTCGGGGATAGTGTAAATCCGCGTAACTAGCATTGGCTACTATAATTGGATATTATTAATTTTAACACCAAATATTTATTGTTGAGATTAGAAAAAATATGAATAATACTCTTTTTAATGATTTTTAATAAATGTACTGTAGATACGCGATATTATAAAATGCTAGTTACGCGGTTTTGCATTATCCCTGACGATATATATATATATATATATATATATATATATATATATATATATATATATATATATATATATATATATATATATATATATATATATATATAGATATATATATATATATATATATATATATATATATATATACACTTACTAAAGCGTATTTTTATAAGCATTTGCTCACTTTTTTTGCTTACCTTAATCCATACAGCTTTTTTAGAAAAAGAAAAAAATAATGAAGAATGATAAATGAAACGATTGCTGCCCCATCCCAAACCCTCAGTCGATGTAGCAGTACTCCACTGCGAGTCATGCTATTTGTCAGTCAATGTATATACTGAAGCCCCCAGCAGCCAGGGTTAGCAAAAACCCGTTTTTTTTTTTTTAAAAAACTCGGCCCAGTGGGTTTTTTTTGGGTTTTTTTTTGGGT